GTAACTGCGGGTCCTCCCCACAACAGCCCCAGGCTGGACCGCTGTACAGGGTGAGTTCAGGAAGACAGGCAGGTGGGGTCCAGAGAAGAGGCCAGGAGGGAACGTCTGAGCCCCCCATCACTGCATTGGCCAGACACATGGTCCCACCCTATCCCTGCCTCCTCCAAACTAGCCTCCCACCCCAACCCTGGGGGCAGGTGGGAAGCTCAACTCTTACCAATGCTATGTCCTCCCTGAATGGCAGTATCTGCTGTCATTGAAACGCTGCAGCTCTGAGTCAGGAAGCTGGTGCAGCTGGCAGCTGCCACTCCCTGTGGGCGAGCCCACTATGCTCTTAGCTTTCCTCAGCCCATACATGGACACAATGACCATCTGACTTCTCTCCTCAGTGGGCGTAAGCCTATTGCGGCCCTGAAAGCCTTCATCATTAATAATAATAGTAATAATAATCATAATAAACCAAACCAAATGGTGGTGGAATGATTTGGAAAAGAATAGTGAGAATGGTTGCACAATTTGAAGACTGTAATCCATGTCACTGAATTGTACATATAGAAATGGTTGAGATGACATATGTTTTGTTATGTATATTTTCACCACAATAAAAACACTAATAATTTGGGGAAAAAAAAAAACCCAAAAAGCAAAAAACCAAACCAGTTGCCATTGAGTCAATTCCAACTCAAGGCAACCCCATGTGTGTCAGAGTACAACTGTGCTCCATAGGGTTTTCAAGGTTGTAATCTTTCAGAAGTAGATTGCCAGGTCTTTCTTCTGAGATGCTTCTGGGTGGATCTGAACCAATAACCTCTCGGTTAGTAGCCAAGAATTTAACCATTTGCACCACCCGAGATCTCCTAATAATAATAAGGGCAGACACTGAGCACGTGCTTTGTGCCCTGGACTGGTCACATATATTACCTCATCTAATCCTCACAGCAGCCCTATATGGCAGGTTCTACTATTACCCCCACATTATAATCGAGAAATCAGAGGCTCAGAGATGTAATGAAAGAGCTTGTCCAGGGTGCCACGAGGAGTAAGTGAAGGCAGTAAGATGGGAGTCCAGGCAGTGCGTCAGGCCCACAATTTAAGCAGCATGTTGTTATTGTTTAAGGCTGTAACAGTAATGACAATGGCTATCAGGTATAGAGGGCAAATTTTGTGCCAAACACCGTGCAAAGCACTGCACATAGATTAACTCGTTTAATCTTCACAGCAGCCGTGTGAGGGAGGAACTGTTATTACCCTGCTTTACAAATGAAGAAACTCAGTCACAGAGCAGTGAAATAATCCGCCAAAAATTGCCCAGCTAGTAAAAGGTGTGGCTTGGATTTGAACCCAGGGAGTCCCAATCCAGAGCGCATATTCTTCACCACTTACCTTACCTCACCCATTGCCATGGAGTCAATTAGAACTCATAGCAACACTATAGGACAGAGTAGAATGGTCCCATAGGGTTTCCAAGGCTATAATCTTTATGGAAGCAGACTGCCACATCTTTCTCCGTGAAGTGGCCAGTGGGTTCGAACCGCTGACCTGGTTAGCAGCCAAGCTCTTAACCACTGCACAACCAAGGCTCCTTTCTTCACCACTACACTATTATTATTCAAAGTAGTGTTAA